AAAATAAATAAATTCGTTTTTATTTACTTCAATTAACACCAACCGCACATGGATGACAGCGTCATTGGGGTCCGATGGAATCTCCTGACGGGACTAGTCTCGTCTCGTCCCATCTGGCCTCTTTGGCTGACATATCAAAAGGAGGGGATTCCATTAGCGAGAGCGTAAGGCTGCCGCGCTCTATGGTGATGAACAGAAGAGGACCATAATTGAGTAGTCTCATCTCGTCCCACCTGGGTTCTTTGGCTGACATATCAAAAGCATAGGGTTCCATTGGCGAGAGCGTAAAGCTGTCGCGTTTTATGGTATGATAATAAAATAAAAGTGGAATAGGATCTTTAGATCCAATTGTTGAATCTTAAATTTTAAGTACTTAAGTGAGATAGTTAGAATTTTAAATTTTACTATTGTCGTCAACTCTATTGAAAAGTAATTTAATAGTCGTATGTCTTATTTGAGAGGATAAAATGTTCATTTAATTTAAAAATTAATTATTAACAATTAATAAATATTAATTTTTTAACTATTATCCTTATAAAGAAAAATTTATAATTGACTGAGATATCAAAAGGATAGAATTCCACTGGTGAGAGCGTAAAGCTGTCGCGCTTATGGTTATAAAAAGAAAAGGACCGTAATTGACTTAGACATTGACAACAGCTTTCCAGTCTTTTTTTAAGGTCTGAGTAAAGCTATTGTCTCCATTACCTATTTTCCAAATAAAAGAAAAAAAAAAAAAAGTAAAGCTGTAGCCTATATCCACTAGTGATAATTGGAATGCGGAAATTAAGGTAATGATAACTAATTTTTGTTGAGTTTATCTTTTTTTTAGAATATAAATTAAAAATATGTTTTTTTTATTATAAACTTATATTAAAAAATAAAAATATTTTTTATTTTATTAATTATTTAATTAAATTTAAATAAAAATAAAATTAATATTAATTTTTATCATATATTTATAATAAAAAAATTATATTAAATATATTTTATTCCGTACTCTTGAAAAACTTATTTTTGTAATAATTTTTATATTTTTAACAGTGAATATTATAGTGTCGAATGTTTTCTGTGGGTTTCACAATATTTAATTATTGATAAAAATA